AAGACCAAAACTCTTGATGATCTGTACACGGAAAAATAACTTGGAATAAACTGATAATCAGTATTGTACAGATAAAAGCAGGTATAGCATAAATTCAATTTAGGATACTGGAGACCTTCAGGGGTATTTTTCTCTTAAACGTACTCTCTCTACGCAACACGTTCAACGAAATCCCCCAATACTATATATCGTTTTAAAGGTCATATAATAAAGATTTCAAAAATCATATCATTTCAAAGTGATTTTTTAATTTGAAACAATGGCGCGTCTAAACACAAATCGGGCACGTTCCGTATAGGTGAATTAATGGAAAAAGCTTTAGTGGAAGTGGAGAAGGGTCTAACGAGCAGAAATCATGTAATAATCTTCAGGTATAATATGACTCTTTTAATAGACATGTTTCGGCAGTCCTACTGGCATCATCAGATAAATGGATAATGATCACAAAGCTAACTTAGTTATATAAAGCTGATAAATGAATATGTATGTAAGTGATTACAATGTTATACGATGCGAAAAAACAATGGAATGAAATCAAAGTTAACCTATTCCACATACTCCCATTCATGCTCAGTTGATATAAGAGATGGGATGAAATATTAACCAGCGCCCTTTACCAATCCGTTACATTTAGATAGTCACCCATTTACCAAGTTATATAACCATTATTCATACAAACAACCCAAACCCCAAACCTCAACACTCCCAAACCTTCTCCCATTCCCTATACCATTCCTCATCCCATTCCTTATCCCATTCCGCACTACTAACCCTACTCTCCCCAGTAAGGAAACAGCTCCTGTTTCAGACGATCAATTAGAATTCGCTGAATGAATCGCACGAATGGTTTGAATGACACATTGTTTCTAAACGCCCGCGATGGAATCGGTCACAATCATACTTCTTTCCTTTGAAAGAGCCCTTAAAGTGTTGCATGAAGGGAAATATGGAAACCTCATTACGAATCCAATCTCTGATATCTTCATGTGCATGGTTAGGGTTTCTTGAGAGGATATAATCCCAATAATCCGCACGGTTATGCAGTTCACAAGCCCAAAAGGCTCCAGGATCTCGAAAGGCCAATTTGTCATCGCCAACTATCCCGGTCATGCGCCCGCGTACAAATACAGCGGTGTCGCTTGAAAGTGTTARGCGAGTTAAATCAGATTTTACAAAGAAATGTATAGAGAGTCAAGATAGTTTTCGATTTATAAATTTCTGTGTAAACAGTTTTCCACTTGCCGGGGTAGAAGAACAATATATAACATTAAAGCATTTATTTTTTACCAAACATACTTTAATTTGTTTGGAAAAACCTTTTCGTCTCGATAGTTAGATTTTAACAGCCTTCCTGCCATATGTGCTTTATTAAATTGCAAGAAAAACACAAAAGGTCAAATATTATAAACAGGATTTCTCAAAATCAGAACTAGTTACCTCATTTGCCGGAGTCGATCCTTAAAATACACACATTCTAAATTACTGATGTCGAATCTGTGRTCGATTGAACGAATTTATACTTTTCGTTTTTTACTTTCAAAAAGCTCCGATTTGAGACGAATATTTGTGAGATCCTTCTTCAAGAATAGGCACTTTGTGAAGCAAAAACCTTGAAAATTATTCGCAACATACGGCATGTKTGGTACCAAAATAAAGCTTGAATCCTCAGCTCTCGTTTGCCATCGTTTGTAATAGGATACCTATTAAAGCACAGGAATACCGTAGCAAAAAGTTATGTTTCTATAAGTCCGGGCCTGAGAGAGCTTGGGCTTCCTGTGGTTTTTATTTTATACATGATATCCGCTGACTTGGCGAGCGGCGCATGGCCGGAATAGTTGGCGATGCAAATTTCCCGATGGCCGTACCACACTCTACCTYCTTGGAAAAAGGCTTCGAGTCTTTCATTTGCTGTCACCCCTCCGCCGACCGCAACGGGGTTTCCACACGCATTGATCCATTTATCGCTATTGAATTGCACTACGAGTAACATCTGACAGTCAAAATTTGGATCAAATTCCCAAGATCATGACAGATTCTCCTAAAATCACGGAAAAATACAGTGCCAATAAACCCCGTTTGTCAGCGGAAGAGTAACAGCTCTGCCTAGTATGACCAGGAGGGTTGATTTAGATAYCCCGTTTACAGAACCTTTTCAACTCCGAGACGTACGTATTATTATATGACATTATAAAAGCAGGGAAAATATACGAGTTTCCCGAGAATGATCTTATTTGTCTGCATCTGAGTTTCTTAAACGTTTTAGCATCAAAGAAATCCTTTTCACACTCATTCTACCTGGCCCATTGATGCTTTGCTTTGACATCATAGGTCACGTGACCTGCACAGCCCAGTCCTTAACTACTTGAGAAACACCATTACATACAAATTAACGGCATAACAAAAAGTAACTCGTAAAGGCAATCAAATGCATAATTACCAATAACTCACAGATTACGTGCCATGCACTACGGCTTGCTTACACTGGGACGGGTGAACTCCACCCCCATTCGGGCGCATTTCACGTCCACTGATGGATTCATCATCGATTCATAATGGTAATTGAACTGAGTGGAGTGCAATTTGGTCTGAAATCAAACGCGCGATTACAAAATCGCACGACCGTGTAGCGGGAGTGCGATTTGTAATTGCAAGTTTGATTTCAGACCAAAATTGCACGACACGAAGTTCAATTACCACTTTATTATATCCATTTT